CCGCAATTGGGGAAGATACGCTCCTTCAGCGATGAGTGTTTCTGGGCTTTAAACTGGATTTAATATTACTTAATAGGATTTAATCACTTTTGCTAATGCTACCTATGTTATATTATTTGAAACAATTCAATTCAACACTATAATATAGTTTAAAATAAATACCTATATATAAATATGTGTATTATATATAAAGATATTAACATGTTGCTTGGGTGCCGATCTTTATCCACCCACCGTGACTGTTTTGACCCAGGTCTCGATTGGATCGAGAACATCCGCGACCTCAGCCTGAACGGCGTGTGGCATCTCCGCAGCACCAAGCAGCTTGGCTCAGCCTTCACGGATGGATTTTAGGTGTTTCTTTTCCAGCGTGGCTTTGAGGGATGGGTTCCTGCTGAGTTGATTCATATTTTTTCAATTCACCAATGGTCGAGGAGCTTCGGATTGTTCGGATCCTACTCTGGGGGTAGCTGGATTTGCAGCATTTTCCGGAATTGAAGGGAATGTAGGCCAAATTCCACTGGATTGATTCCCAGAGGGAGACCCGCATCAGGATTCGGAATTGTTCATGTCGTGGGCAGTCCTCTCCATCAGTTGAGAGGTGACAAAGAAGTATAGATAGCGAAATGTATCGGAGTCCTCCCAGTTCATCAGATCCTCCAACATACTTTGAGCTCCGCTGGGCTCCTTGCGACCCTGATCTATTTGCTATTCATTCTCATGTGTGGTTTGTGTGCAAAGAGATCAAGAAACTTCAATTTGTATTTGAACAGTTATCTTAGCCACGTATTTGCACACGAAGAGATGCAATGTTGCTGCAAGACTATCCTTTGATATCGGCTGCATCCTTTGAGGTTTGCGGTTCACCTTCAACATTTTTGAGTGTTAGTGTAATGTTTGGTCTGTTTTGTTTACATGCATGTTTCTATATTTTTCCTTGTTATAATATACATATTTAACGGGTGAACTGATAGGTCACAAGGTGCAATCCTCACATCCTCCTCCATGAAGTCGAGCTGTTTTTTTCTCGGGCTCAGCACCAGAGCCAACCGTTTCAGATATTGGGATGACAGCGATGAGCTCTCGTTGCTGGTGGTGTCGCGGCCTCAGCACGACGCCACTGACTTGGTGGTGCGAGCTGCGGTCCGAGCTCCGAGCGCAGGGGAGTGGTCCGACCATCAGGAGATTGGTTGGGGGATTTGTGGTCGCCACTGATATGGTTCGAGCTGTTTTAGAGGTCATCACAGGTAGAGGAAACTCGGAGACCTTTGCGACAGGGATCCTTCCGGAGACTTCATTTAGTCCCGGAGGTTCCACCGAAAGCCCGTTGAAAAAGCGACTCAGGCTCCGAACAGATATCGCCAGATGGTTGCTGCTCGTCAATTGTTTTAGTGCCATTGTGCTCAAGCTATCGTAGCTTTAGTTTAGTAGCGATGGCCTCCACCCTAAGAGTGATGGGCTCCACCCTACTAGCGATGGCCTCCAACCCCAATAGACGATGAAAACACTCAAATCTCAGGAGGAAATACGTGGACAACTGGGAAATCTTAGAGCTTCAGCAAGGCTTCGCCCAATCCGCAGGAGAAGCAGCTCGGCGGAAGGGATGGATCCGCCAACGCGGCGTCCCATACGTCGAAGCGAAATGACGAAAACCATTCGTGCCTGGGGTGGTCCAGCTTCTTGTTACTACTAGTAAGGCACTTGTTTCGATACTAGCTTCTTGTTACTACTAGTAAGGCACTTGTTACTAGTAGCGATGCACTTGTTCCTAGTAGCTTCCTACCCCCCCGTGCCTGAGGTGGTCTCCTATATCACGCAAATGCTGCGCAATACCATTCGCTTTTTGGAGAAGGTCTACACCTACGACCAGCTCCGACTGCACCAAGTGAGCCTTTCTTTGGAGAATGGCGGATGGTCATGGCGCTGGGTGGGCCACTTCTATTTTCGCCGACCTGGTCGGCGTGTGAAACGGCTTGTGGTGTATGTTCCGCTGGGAATTGGTCTTTTGAGGGTATGCGGTATCCCATTGAAGCTTTGCTAAAACTATATAGACCTCAATCTTTGAGTGATGTGGGCGTTTGCTCTTTCCATTTTTGCCGCTGTGAAACGGACCTCTCCATTTTCCACTCCCTTTGCGCAGTCAAGGCCATCCCTTTCAGACATTCTCTCAAGACAGTTGAAGGATCTCTCTTGGATCCCTCCACAGTTTGTTTGGATGGCCGTATCAACTATAGTGTTTTGGCTTCCTTCAAGACGTGATTGAAGCTTGAAATAAAACATCCCAAGACATTTTCTTGTATAGCAGAGGATGTTGGAGTGGGAGAAGGAGGGAAGCTATTGTTCTTTTCCGCCGACTGCACTTGGACAACTACATAAGCACCTACGATAAATCTCAGATTTCTCCAGATCAGTACCATGCCATAGATTTCTGAACTGCACCTACGATAAATCTGTAGCTAAGTGCATCGCTACTAGGAACCCGGGCATCGCTACTAATAACAAGAAGCTAGAAGCTAGTAACAAGGTGCATCCCTACTAGTAGGGACGCTACTAGTAGCAAGGTGCCTTACTACTAGTAGCTTTAACATCCTAGTAAGGCACCTTGCTTGTAACAAAAAGGTCAGACAGTCCACAGATTTCTCGCAATCCCAGGACGCGAGACTCGCAGAAATGGTTCGCGCCGATCCTGGGCATGAACTCGGTGGACGTGTGAGGAAAAATGAGGAGTCATATTGAACTGAAAGACAAATGACCAAAAAAGTCAAGCTCACGCTCAGATGGTTCAATTGAGTGTGAGATATATAATGACCAAGCATTACCAAGGCCAAAGATGGAACTCCACATCACTCTTTCTGATTGTAATTACTAGGGTTCCATCCGCTTCATGACCTGGTGACCTGCGTCTTGTTGACTTCGAAGTCAACATGCGTCAAAAGCTTGGCCGGCCAAGTCCTCATTTAATGAATCTGATGATCATCCTCGCTTGTTCGGTAATGATTGTCCTCAGCTCATATATATATATAGATAGATAGACCCCTCTCAACCCAGCAGTGTAGGGAAACCGATTCCTACACTGAAAATATGCATGATTTGGAACGTTGACGACTTGGGACTTATCAGAGACTGGAGTCTGACATTGCTGCAATATTGCTGATGTTTGCTGATTCTGAGAGGTCACCAGGCTGGATGGAGTAGAATCCAGGGCTTTCAGTTGGCACTGCCACGTTGAAGTCTGGGACCTCAATCACGGTTGGACTCGTCGAGAGATTAAGGAATTTGAGATCACTGTCGCGACACCTGATGTTTGAGTGGTTGTTAAGGTTCATCAGCCTATGAGAACCTGTGTTTCGAGCCACTATATGCAAACACCAACGACATACTTTTTGAGGCAGAGCCAGGCACCAAAGCCTTAGAAGAACACATTGTATGGTGAAACAGGGTCACCCATCCAGTTCCTGTTATCACCAATAAGATGTGACTCAGGATCGACGAGGAGCTGCTGTATTTCCAGGATGTCGTGGATATTTGGCATGAAGACTTTCCCATGAGCTTCCGCGACCACTTTGGCGAGAATCAGGAGCTGGGTAGGGACTGGACTCTGGAAGTGAAATGAAGCGATAGGACACTATACAAGTCAACAGTGCATCAGCACTATACAACACCGTCACCATCATCACCATCACCATGAGCATTCTCAGGAGCATCATGTGGTCCTCCTCACCACTTTGCCCAAGTAGAGAGCGCAAGTGAAAACACAGCAAAGTTTTGACAAGAATCTCAAGTGCTTGGCAATATTTTAAGGCGAGGCATACAACTTGTTCTATGTTTTGGCTGATTCCGGTGCAATCATTTGCAACCATCAATTCAGAGCAATCACAAGTTGCACAAGAAAGTGGGCAGAGCACAGATATATTATGTACGTCCCACTGCTTGACTGACCTGTACACCGCAGATAAACGACTATACTATGCAATCTATCAGGGAGATGATGCAAAGGTCTAGATTCCTGCAGGGCGTTTCTATTCAAAATGAGCCTTCAACATAGCCCAGGAAATTCATAGCACCACCGTGCACCACCAATGCATGAAATTGGAAGGGTCTGACAGGACGCCAGCTGTCCTATTTTGGGGTACTGAGATCTTCATCCGGCTTGTCGACTCGGAGAGACTCAACAGGAGGAATTCGACAAGTGGTTTGCTGAGCGAGCGAAACACAGGCCTTCAGACTTCTACACTGTCGCTCGGAGGAAGCTTAAGGGCCACAAATTCTGGGGGAGCGGAAGGAGAGAAGATCGGAGAGAGGGAGCCTAAACAGTTTTTGTTCTTGCAACAACAAGTAGTAAGTCGTTTTCCCCTCTAGTTACTGTACGTGGAGAGGGTGGCCTGTAGATTATAGATGAGTAAGGTCAAATCAATCCAACATCCTCCATATCCTTCAACTGTTCATTCCATGAAAACGAACATGAGTTTGCTCTGAGTCTGACGGGTCCTATCTGTTGTGCCTTTATGCTGGGAGACGTTCCGTCATTCAGAGGACCGCTTCTGATACGAAGGCATCACTGGCTGTTTCATGTTTCTGTTTTGGAGGTAATGACTATACATAATGGATATATATATATATATATACATCTTGGAGATCAAAGTTTAGAAGTGTTTCATAGAAGTTAAGTTAAAGGGGAATTTAACTATTGTGCTGGTTTGTGCATGTTTTGCTTGCATGACTTCAGTTTGGAGATGCAACAACAAAGGTATTTGTGAGGACAGTGAGGGTGCTTGTGCAATGAATGTGTCTATGTTTGATAAGAAGATTACAACTTAATCCCGTCGCTTCGCGACGGAAACCACCCGCACCGCATGGTGGTGGCTCAGGTATCTGCAGTAGGAGTAAGCAGATGAACAGAAACATCAGCAACGTGTGGGAAGACCGGATGAAATAATGGAGCAGCAAGGGTTGGTAAGAGTTGATTTATGGAATGACCTCGTGCTCTTGGAGCCGAGTGAGAAGTATTCAGTGGCCCACAGAGTAATAGCAGTTTTGGAGATCAAAGCAATGGATGGCGCCGTTGGACCCGCCTGTGCCAACTGTTTGGAGCTGAGTTGCAACATTCCAGCGACAGCCTTGGATCAGATCTGATCGAATTTTAGTGCTCAATAACCGAGGGACATAGTTAATATTCAGAAATTATACAGCTGGAGGAAATGGTCCCACCATTTGTGCTAAGCGCATTGAAAAATTCAAATCTGCTGGATTTGTTCACTCTGGATAGTCGTAGTGTGAGCTTGATGCCAAAGTCGAGGGAGACTGCACCTCGAGCTATAGGATTTGACGGCTTCTTGAAGGGGAAGACACTATGATAGATGGGATGACCATGGCATCATGGCCATTGATTCAGCATTATTCAGTGCCCAGTGTTCTCGTAGGGCCCGTGTCAAGAAAGCAGCTCGTGCTCTTGGAGCCGAGTGTGTGGCGTATAACCGTATAATTGGCAGTGTGCATCTGGAAGATTTGTACCCAGCATTCCAAGTTTCGGAGCTGTGGATGACCCATCTAAGCTGCGTGAGGGTCTGTAGGGTGGACCGGTTTGTGGAAGTGGCCAGGGAACCGAAAAAAAAATCTGACAAAGAACTGTCACAATGTGAGCTATTCCAAGAGGTGGCTAAAGATCAACTGAAATAATGCGCTTTGTGGGACTTTCATTCACCTTTTTTGATTTTCGGCGCTTCGCCCAAAAATGAGAAATTAAACCAGAATCGACATTAGTTCTATCATTTAAGTGGCAGCGTGTGACGCACGCTTGGAGACCAACCTCCCAAGCTTGGCGATATTCTTCTGGTCCACAGTAGGCGTGATAGTGGATTCTGTACGCACCTCCAAGACGGTTCTTTTCAGTTCCCTTTCCAGACCCTTCTTAAGAGGTTTGCAAGCTTGATGGACATTGGCTAAAAGGGCGATTCTTATCTATGGCTCCGCCTCCTGCATCCACGCATTGCTGTTTTGATATTTCACGCCGCGCATTGGCAAACTGCGATAACAAAAATATAATGACCTAACATGACCTATTATTTGAGATTTATGTTGAACAACGCATGCCAAAAAACCTTCATCATGAAACCATTGAGTAGACAGCTACTTGGGCTTCATGGTCCCTATCTGGAAGAGACGTGCTTTAGATACGGGCTTTCAACGCGCGAAGGAACATCTCCACTTAACCCATCTAGAGTCTGTATTTGAAAACGGGTTGCAGCACAGGTGTTTTGGCAAGGACACATGAAAATGAACTGGCTGGCCGCGATCCCATTGCAAATACCGATGGCGAGCAACCAGGCGGGAGGAAGAGTGTTGACAGAAATTGCGGCGCATTGTGATGTGCATGGTTTCTGACCTGGCGCAGGTTTACCGAGGCAGAGCAGGACTTTATTATGTTGATTGTATATTTGCCGGAGCATTGTCGGTGGCAAGACCTCGACCCAGCAGATTTGGAAGAGCTATGTCAGGTTCGCTATGGTAGGCATGACACAAGTGCAGTTCTGCAGACCTGTTCGCATTGGGAAGTTACATGCACAAACGTGACAAAGTGACAGGTGCTGGGCGCTGAACCATCTTGTCCCTTTGGGGCACAAGACCCGGCAGCGGTTCGCGTTTGGTGCGGGTCTGCCAAGAGCGCAGATGCCGCCAAGGAGGTGGTACTTGTCTGGCAGCAATGGCGTGCATTTGTCTATCTGCAGTCACACTAGGGACGGCGATAGTGCGCTTGACGAAGCACGCTTGGGCTCGAGCATTTGCTATAGCATTCTCGGTGTGCATCAGGGACATGGCCTGGTGCCCCGCTGCTGGCGGTTTTTGTGTTGCCATTGGCGTTGCTGCCGCGGAATTGCCTGCTTTGCGACAAGACCTTCAGCAAGCGCAAAGCTTAGCCATCGTCGTGAACAAACCATCTCAGGGTGGCGGTGGTGGCTATGCCAAGGCATTGGCCCTTTCGAATCTGATAGGCTCTGAAAACGAGTGTCTATACAGACTGCGCTCAAGCCAGCTTCGCGCTTGCGGGAGCTCGGCAAGCGACTACTCGCAGGCCAAAATTAAAGAGGGCAACGTTTTCCCTGAAGCGGATGAGGAGGGTCTGGATGTACCTGGCAGTTGGCCATGTTGAGCTCATGCTTGCCATCGCTTGCCTTTACCTTGATTGAACCATGCTGAACAAGTTAGGTCCGAATTCGCCTCATTTGGTGCTTATCTTGGGCTCTGTTGGGCCAAGATGGGACCCTCTGTTGGGCGAAGATAGGGCCTATGTTCAGCAACTTGCTGGATTTTAGGCCGCTGTCAAAACGTGGAAAAACCATGATTCTAGGGTCTAGAGCAAAAACGCCCCCTAGTGCTAAAGCTAATAGCTAAAGCACGCCTTAAAAAAACTCGAGCGCCCATTGCCATGGGATTTGGTGAAGGTATCCAGGCGATGTCGAATCCTTGGCCACTTGGGACAGGTACACGGTACAATCGTAAAAAATGGGGTTCAAGATGTTCTTCATGAGTTTTGCATGTTTTTGCAATGTTTTGTCGGGTCGTCCAAGGTCGTGAAATATCCAGAGGCGCGACAGATGAGCTGCAGCGCAGCGTGGACCGCGATTGCGCGAACTTCGCATCTGTTGTCGCCAAACGAGGACGAGAGACGAAGGAAACTCACAGGAACGATCTGATTCGTTTTCGTTCCTCGAAAATGCAGGCGATGACGCAAATCGAGAAGGAGAAGGTTCAGAAGTATATGGGTAGCTACGGTCATTGGAGGCCGGTGAGAGATGTATGGGATGCGAAGTTTCCGATTTCTCGTCACTGAGAGCCAAACATTGTTGGAACGGACTGAACAAATCTCACCGGGTTGGCCCCTTCTGCCGTGTCGCCCTGGGTGTTTTTGATGTTTTTTGGACTCCCAGGTTCGGCTTCAGCACTGAAGAGGAGTTGATTCGATCCTTGCGAAGTGGTCACTTGAATGCAGTTGGGGAAGGTGAGGTGTTGTCAGCGTGAATTGCTGGGTTCCGCTGTCAGCTGGGATCCAATGCGCACTCATATAGCGAGCAAAGACGCCAAGATCGTCAAGTAAGAGAGAGACAGAGATAGACACACAGACAGACAGACAGACGGACGGACGGACGGACGCACCAGCCCAGCCCAGCCCAGCCCCCAGCCCAGCCAGGTAGGCAGACAGACAGACAGACAGCGAGAGAGAGAGAGAGGGAAAAAGAAAGAGACAGAGAGAGAGAGAGAGAGATTTGATCTTCTTGTAGTTTTCCTTCTGGATGCGCCAGACTGAAGTGTTTTTTCTTTCACAGGAAATGCCTGGAGTGCAAATTTCATTGCAAGTGTCAATGTATGTTGCACCTACCAGACGAATGTTTCCCACACACCCTTCAGCACTGTACAGCCCCGCTCTCTTTGGTTGCCTGTGTGCGTGGCCTCAGCCGTGGTGCTGATGGAGCAGTGCTACATTCTACTGGATGCCGCCTTGCTGATGATGAGCTTGCAAAATTTTGCTAGCTGCTCGGCTCAGTAGATGAAAAATTGTATTTGTAGAATTCCGAACGAGATATGTTTTAAAGCCATGTTCTACAGAGTTAAGATACAGGCTAATTTCAACTGCGGGATCACGTGGTGTTCCGATGGACATCGCCTGGTTGATTAGTCGAAATCGCTCTCACCTTCTTGTGATCGTGAGGCTTGGGTGGCACCAACATGTTCCTGGCTGGTCAGGTGCCGGAGAGTCGGGATTCGCAACATATTGTGGTTGCGGGCGAACATTGGTTGGCTCTCCATCAAAAAAGCGGACTTGGAACGATTCCAATAACAGAGGCTCCCAGGTTTTTGGATCCCACTTAGAAGTCAGCCCGAAACTGCTAAAACCGTCAGGTCTCAGCGGAGGATGCCACCCAAGTCCTTGACTGGATCGACAAAGCCGTCCGGAGCCCCCGGAGTTGACGAGCCGTCGTCGCGCCGTCGGGAGCGACGATCCATGTTTCTTTGTACGCACTATGTCACTATGTGGGCAAAGTAGGACAGTTGGGGAAAAAATGATGCTTTGAATTGTTGTCAATGCTTTGATTAGAATGCCTCCGGCTCGCTGAACTGGGAACTGGTTCCTCGGTAAGACAGAAACGGCAATGTTTGCTTGGAGGAGTGTCTCAATTTATATGTTGACCCCCCCAATGTTTGCCCTCAGAACAGGCCGAAATGCTGTGACCAAACCAGGTGTGGTTGTATTTTGTTTGTGCGGAACCGACCGTGCAGATCGACCGACGGTTGGTTGTGGCACAGCGAATCGCCGACAGGTGCAGGAGGTGCGTCAGCACATCGTGAGGATTGCCGACATTGGTCAAGGTGATCCTCCTGGGCGGGTGGAGTGCGATCCCATCGTCATCCCCAAAAGATGTGGTCCTAGAAACGAGTGATGACACACAGGGTACAACATGGTACAACATGATTGAAAAAAAAAACAAACTATATATGTTGAGCTACCTGCAGCATCCTCCAGCCACCTGAGTTCAACCTGTAGTTACCATGAAACGACTATGTTTCTGTCGCTTAACATCGACGTGCATGAGTTTGTTGATGGTCCCATGGTGTTGGTGACCCAACAGAGCCTAGACGCGAGATAACCCGAGTTTGCATTGAGCAGGTACAACAGGTCTAATTTGACCCAGGTCCAAACCTCCTGAAACCCTCCAAGTCCACCCAGACTCCCACCAATCCGCGCCCGATGCGCACCAGTCCGCCCATTTGGGTACCGTGAAACAACCTGTACAGGGGGCTGGTCGAATTTGCGCCGGAAGAAGAAGACCAGCTGGTTTTCGCATCCAGGCTGGGGATTTGTTCAGACCAGCCGCCGTTTCCGGATCTTGATTCTACGAATCATCCGATGTTCTGCCATTGTTATATATATATATATAATTAATTATAGATATATATACATATTGTATATATATATATATATGTCATTGGAAGTGGCAATCTCAATCATCCTGTTTTTCCTTCTTGATCAATCTACACTTGAACTTTCCACCGCCGTTTGGAGTGTCCCTGAACCTCACCTCGACATGCCATGACTTGCCGGACCACAAGGTCCGCTGGATAACATGCGCTTGGCCATGAACATTGAGGAGAGCGGAGACCGCTTCCGGTTGGTAAAAGCGGGAACCAACCTCCGGGTTTTCCGAAAACAAGTCCTGATCCACAGACTTGCGTTTGAGAAAGACGTCGGGAGATCTTGGGACATCCTGAGACCAAAGACAGGGTGAAACAGAACTCTTGTCATGTAATTAGTCATCGTGCATGGATTTCAAGGTACCAGGTCAGATCAGACCGTTGACAAGGGCAAGCACAGGAACCCTCTCTCGGAGACAAACAAGTGAGCTTCCGGTTGAGACAGCCTCTCAACATAGGTTTCAGTTTCAGGACTAAAATAATCTAAAATCATCTAAATCTAAAATCTGTTCGGAAGACAGATGAACACACACACACAATTAAGAGGACACACTGACACACATTTCAAATTTCAAAGGCAGGTGGTTGTTAATTACGCAGTTACGCATGGTTTCGCCACAAGGACCATATTGAGAGGCTAGCCATGAACGAGAGCGGAACTATCCGCGCTATGTGGCTGGGCTGGCAATGTGGTGGATTGTGTTAAGTGGGTGGGAGCACATGTTTTGGCTTGAGGACAAAGGCGGCTTGCAAAAAGGTGGAGCGGCGGTTTGATGCAAATCAAAACCAGAACCTAGAACAGGGCAGAACAGAAATGGTGGACAGCGACTTGCAGCCACTTATTTTTATTCACAACTGCTGTAGCAGGATGATTGTGACCCACATGCCACCGATTTGGAGTTCCATGTTTGAGCGCCTAGGAAAGCACATCTGAGTAACTGTCGCGTCCAGAAGGGTGGATTTCCCGAGCCTCTTGGCGAACGCGATCGCGTCTCCGATCGCGGACGATCAGACCGGGCGAAACTCAGCATCGATGGTCAAACTGATTGGACTCGCCAAAGGGATCCAAAGGTGTTAATATGACATAATTATAAGTACTCATGGTGTATTATATATACAGTAACTAACTATAGCTGATAGACTCTCACAGATTATCATAGAAATCCCACTTGCAGCGTGAAGTTCATCATTTTGCACGGGTCCTTTTCCCTGGTCGCGGTCTTCGCCCTCGCCCAATGTCAACCGATATCACACCACGGCCGCTAAGGGATGAGCTGTCCAAAGAGCTGAAGTGCCATGGCTTCAAGAGCTGAAATCACCAACCGATTCGACGGTCTCGTTATGTCCTCGGTGATTCGGTCGCTTTCGGCTTGAGAAAAAGGAAAAAAAACACACACCCCAGCAGGTCAGCAGGTGAGGCGTTGCAGGTCGGAAAGGCCTTTTCCAGGACCTAGCTAGTGCAATAGCATATAGTAGTTAGTAGCCTTAGTTCATCAGATCTTTGCTTTGTCAAGAGTGAGTTCCACAAGACCTAAGCAGCAGTGAGACATGTCGACAGCAAGTTCCGTGTGGGGCTTCACCGCTATTCGCCCTACTCAGGTATTTTCAACGGCACCTGGGCCCAGATTGGAAGCGGCGTCAAAAGACGTCTTTTCCTCCGCAGGAGGTCATTTTTTGAATGGATGGTATAGTAAAGTGTGTAAGTGTGGCAGTCGATTCACGCGGAAAGGGATGCAGGGTAGATGCTGGTCAGTCAGTCATATGATGGTTGTAGGGTACATCATGTACTTCCTCGAATCCTGTTCAAGGTCTTGTTGCATAAACCATATAAAGATACATGAAGCGTCTCAGTAGGTCACTGAGCGTTTTCATGTGTTTTCTGGCTTTCCATTGTTTTCTGCTGAACTTCCATGGTTTGTATGTTGCCAGTCGCTGCCCGAGGTTTTGGGAGGCCATCAGCAAGAAACATTGGATCGATGAGGACGACCATCAAAGACCCATTCGTTACATTTGAGCGAAAGAGAGGTTCCGTGAGTCGGTCGGGGTGGTCGTATAGAAGTAGTGAGCCCAGTTCCATGTTCGTGGAGATGAGTGGAGCTTCTGGGCCCCCCCCAAACCCCGCACCGACATGGAACTGCTGGAACCTATTGATTCTTCGTCTCACTGGAGGGTAGGGTGACAGGAGGACACACCTGTCAGCAGTTTGTTGGAGAGCATTGTTTGTCTTGGGCCGAAGCAGCCCACGGTGCACGACTTGTCTATCTAACTGCTGGTCGTCAGCCGACGTTTGCAGTTCTTCAAAGAGAACAATGTTTCTTTGGATGCTAGGAATCCCGGGAAAGAACGGGGATTCTTGTGCACAGCCGTAGCTAGTTGTGTCAGTGGCGCCCCTTGACAGA